AATATCCTTACTGCTATTTCATAAGACGTTGTAAGAGATGCAGGGCTGATGCACGACCSAAAGTCACTCTGGGTGTCCAATATTCATGGCCAATATCCTCTAATCTGGTGAAAATCCTCCATTCGTTGAAAAACATGGACATTCACAAATAAAAACATCATGGAAGATTTGTAAAAGACAGTTTAGTCTACGCATGACAAAAGGATTCMATTAGTTTTTATTTATGAAAAGTGTAATTTTATGTAGGGCGTAGACGAACCATAGTTGGTGTCGCTAACTATATACGAAGCTAGCTGTTGTTTTTTAATAATAAATCCTACGTACCAAGAGGTCTTAAACCATGAAAGATCTTCACTTAGTTTATTTTGAAGAAAGAACAGTATCGACAGCGTTTGAAGGGTAAATATTGCCATCAATAATCAGCACCCATAGTACCTTTCGGTCGTGCATCCCCCTATAGACATATATGATCATCGATATGCTATAATTGTTCTTATCATATAATTATCTATGAAATACCTATATTTCTCCATTACGTAAACTTGATATTTTCACTAGTGAAAATAACATGTTATTTTCACTAGTGAAAATAACACATTCGAGGTTTCTCTATATAGTGGAAGAAAGAAAAAAAGGTATTTTAAGACATAACTTGCTTTCATATTTAATTATATGATAAACAGAATATTACATGGTCGCTTGGAGATACGAATTTTATCTTCTCGTGTTGAAAATCTCTCACTCGTTCGCTACGCTCACTCGTGAGAGATCTTCTCAACACTCGAAGATAAAATCCGTATCTCCAAGCGACCACGTAATATTCTGTTTATCATATATTAAACAGGATATGGCTTGGAATGACCGTTAATACCCAACCTTCGATCTCCTTTAATGATAGCCATAGCCGAATTGTTATTAGAGCRACCATTCAAAGAAAATTGTATATCAAGTAATAATGGAGTTTGGTAATATTGATAATGGATCGCATAATGACTGCATTATAGTAGTAGGCTTGCGACTCTGATATAGCCTCAGGAATGACCATTAAAATACACTCTTTGCAAATCGAATAGGTTCCATCATGTTCCAAATTATTCATTTCAATCAAAACAGGTCATAAATGGCATAACTTGAGCCTTAAAGAGCATAGACTATTAGATAGCTTTGAACATCGAGGGTTCCACCCATATAGTAACTTAGCAATCTGATCCMTTTAACAACCATGTAGTGATTCAATTAGCTAGAATTAGTTTTGCTAATCGCAAGAACCTAATTTCMCCGAGGGCTTCAACATATATGACTTCTTGAGTATTTCGCAATTTCTCTAAGAGCATAAAAAGCACTTTATCTTGTTTATGGCTTGGCTTCCTGACGTATTGGGCGTGCTCTGGMTGGCTGGTGCAAGGTTCCATTTTCTGTAAATCTGATATATCATGGCATAGGCGACGTAGGAAGGGCGGACAATTAGATTTTACGTACATGTACTTACATTTAKAAGCAAACACCACTGTGTCTAAGATCTGAAGCATTTTCTAACTTTATACTTCAATACTACATTACCATGACATATTTTCCTACTTTATACTTCAAGCATTTTTCACGACATGGTCCTAAATCCCAGCATAGTACGTACATGTCTTTATTTATTGTTTAGCTTTGCAAAAAGCCCCCTTGATGCCACATAAGAAACAACACCTGTAAAACCATTTCCAAAACATAGTTCTGCCAAGTTAAATCTGTCTGCCAAGCTAATTTTCAGACCTTACATAAGTAGATAGAATAGAACCCCTACGTTGAAGGAAGGGAGTTAGGGAAGCAGGCAATTATGTCCTCTCACGCCAGACATGTCTCGTTCTTAATTTGGATTTCCTTTTATAGTGGAAGAATTGAATAACATCTATTAATATAGAAAGTAAACCTTGTGGGGTGTGTGAACACAGACCGGTGTGGTGAAAAATTGTTAATATTTCTTATTTCAATTAATAATATTTATTTCTTGATATTTATATCTTTTTATGATATCGGTTTGTTTATGATATTTATCATAGATTATATCTCTATAATATCTATAATAATCATATAATCATCTATGAAATACCTATATTTCTCCCTTGTCGCTCCGCCCCAAACCCCTTCGAGAGAKCCTAATACTCAGCCTAAGGCTTCTCTATATAGTGGAAGTAAGAAAAAAAGCTATTTTACGACATAATTTGCTTTCATATACAATTATAGAATTGTATATTATAGAATATTACATGTTCGCTTGGAGATACGAGTTTTATCTTCTCGTGTTGAAAACTCGAAGATAAAACCCGTATCTCCGCGCGCCAATATCTATATCTATATCTCTATAATATTTATTAATATATATTTCTTGATATTCATATTTTTTTATGATATCCCTTTGTTTATGATCATAGACTATATCTCTTGCATACCACTACGGCTTAAACGTCTTCCATTAGCTACGAATTTCAAAAGTTGAAAAAATGACTGTAAAAATTAATCACTTTGCCGGATGACTCACAAATCCATGATTTTATATTGTATTTCACTAAAATGCAAATACAAAATGGCGTAAAATTATTAAGAAACACCTGAATTTGCAGTAAGATTTTTCATAGTTTTTCTGTTTGTGTTATCATAAATAATACAAATTCATCAAAATTCAGTTTTCCCGCGATATAATAAATTCTATCACTATATAATGTAAAAATACTACAGATAAAACGTAGCATTTCAAAGRGTTTTTTTGTTCTATTTGTGAATGGAMCACTACCGGAACAGACAGGAAAACAAATATCAAAGAAAAAAAAAGAAAGTGTTTTATTCTCTCACAAGATAACAATCTGTTGACAGTAACAGTGAAAGTTATACTTGTACTTCCACTTGAACGTCAATAATTACTTTAAACCAATATGTCACTTCTATAACTTTGGTATTACATAACTTGGTAATGTCAATCACTTCAGCACGTTGGTACTTTTGTTCTTGATACAAAAATAAAAGGAAGCACTTTTTTTCAATAAGTAAAGATGATATCGGTGGCCCTTAGAATTAAAGCCGGATATTAATTGAGAATGGACACTTGTAACAAGTAGGAATCAGTGCTATTGAGTGTGGTACCATTATCTTTGAATRAAAAACAGACCGATGAATTGTTTTAAACAGCGTCCTTTTGAGCCGTTCACGTACATCTTTTGAGCATGTAAGGCACCAGCTATCTTGATGTCCATCAAGTATGCCCCAGAGCAAACCTACCAATTTCTTKATATAGCATTGTATCGATGTGAAAATTACTTTCTTTGATAATTCRACCTTATCTTTTGGTTCAAAAGCTTAAATCATAACTTAAGGGGATAATATTTGGCATTGCATTAACGGTTGCTATTACTTATAAAACTTATTAATAATGCATGAGCTATTACTCCAATAAGGGTTGTCCATTTCATCAGGTGATTGAACTTGTAAATCAGATACAACACTGTGATACAACACTAGTGTTGTATAAGATTTACAACACGGTCGTCACCTTGAGACAACCCAACACTAGCAAAGGTCTCAGTTTTAGTGTCGCATCATAGACCTTCACTAGGTTTTGAAGCAATCAAAGACGGATAACAGAACTGGCTTATGCAACAGATGGCTTGCTTTCCATGTGGGATGGATAATTATTCAAAATGTTCTGTGTTGCAGTAAATTGCGCATGCTTAATAGAGACTAAACTCAGCAGTTACCTTATTTGTCATTTTTCGTTATTTATCTCACTGTAATTCATGTTAATTTGTGTTGGAGTTTTATAAGTCGTTTACAACATTCGCGTCCGTGTTGTATGGGAATTACAATCTCTCGCCTGCGGCTCGAGATTGTAATTCCCATACAACACGGCCGCTCATGTTGTAAACTATACTTACAAGACGCTGACTATAATTTCTCCGATTGAGTCGTATCTGATTATTATTATTAATCAAAACGTTCTCGGTAAAAAATTGCTACAAGGTGGAAGTTCGGTCACTTTAGAGTAAAAACCTATTCGTTCGGGAAAAGATTAAGGCTTGTAGCCGCGCAGTAATCAATATCCCATCCATATATAAAACACATATCCTTTTTATTCTGCATGAAGCCGCCATTTTATCATAAACAAAAACTTAAATTGCTCATACGTCCGCCATCTTGGATTCAGTGTTGTTTGTAGTAAATTATGGGAGGCCCAAGGGGCATTTATATGATAAGGYCATCAGACATTCAGTAACGAAGAATGGCGGCTAAAGTGTTGGTAAATATCCTATCAATCAATCTAAATTCAAAAAGTTATATATCAAAACCATAACCACAAGTCAACATGTTTAATAAAATGTCTCTTAAATCACGCATCTCGGAATTATAAACGAGTTTTTTGACTGCAAAAACCATTCACACTTAAATTTGTGATTCATAAAAGGAAAAGAATCTTGCCTTTTTGTGCTTTCTGAAGTTAAAAGCACTTGGAGTTGGGCAGAACACTCTGGAAGGGCGAGATACACTCAAATTTGTTTTATGTTCCTCGAACACTTCTGCCTTGTAGTGCCTTGTAGTGCCTTGTAGTGCCTTGTAGTGCCTATTCCCGCCTATTTCCCATTTTCTTGCTCGCACATTTCATTCCTTCATTATGGGATAGTTTAGCCAAAGATCATAAAGACAATATTGTAACTTGTAAAAAAACTCGTAGATATGATAAAAGAAAAGGAAACATTAAAGAATTCTTCTTGATAAATAGCGTTGCCTGGAGACTTTCGTGTTCACACTAAAAATAATTGCGAAAAAACTAATTTTCAAAAGAGGATATCTGTGAAAGATTTAATGACGTTTACAACCGTTTTCAAAAAATGTCCCATCTTAAAATAGTATAACAGCTTTTCTTTTTGTTATTTGTTTTGTTGTTATTGCTATTGAGTTTTTTTTTCTGATGAAACTTATTGGTATCGCCCACTCAAGTAACGTACGGTATATTATTTTGACAGGTTCGCCATTCTATTGTCTGCTAGACATCGTACCAATCAAGAACGAGAAAGGAAACGTCGTACTTTTCCTGGTATCTCACAAAGACGTTACCAAAAGGAAACTAAGTAATGAAGTGCATGATGACGAATCAGGTGAAGTAATATTAACCTAAGCATAATCGYAATCATAATCATAGTCACAATACATACGACTCAGTTACAATCATAAGTAATATCATTGGAGATTTTATCATTCTCTAGTAATACTTTGTTTATTCTTGTCTTGTAAGCTATTAACGCAAGAAATGGAMACTTTTCCGGCATTTTCTTTCTATTACTTACGTCAAAATCAGTCGTAATAGAAAAGAATTTTTAAATTCTATACTAAAAACTATACTAAAAAAGAATCCTTGCGTCATGAGTTACAGTCATTATAACTTTTCCACACTTAAAACGCGAGCCAGTGCTTCCTTACGTCATAACCGGTCATAGTCATAGACATAGTCATAAGAAATGAAAACGTCTCCATTCTCTTGCGATAATATCTACGATTATGACGCAGCTTAATGCTACATAAAAGTCATAAAGATACTAGGAGTACTCTATCATGTGGACTTTTAGATAATAAARAATTTCCTCGATTGGGATACTGAATGCCGCCTTGATCCGGAGCACTCAGGGGGCTTGGAAATAGAAATGCTATTCTGAAAACGAAAGAGACAAAAGTCTCCAGTATTACTAAAGATTAGAGATTACGCTTTTAGCAAGAGACTTTTCTGCCCTTYCTTCACATCAACACGATTTTCAAAACTGATAAAAAATATCTTCCGTTAGTTAGTTGAGAAAAAAAAAAAATAAACCTTTGGCGCAATTTTTTTTAGGAAGGTAATTTCAAATATTCTAAGATAAAAGCCATTGAAATGGTTCTTTATCGCAATATTTTTAACGAGTTTTTTATCTTCAAGTGATCGAAATCGACTGTGAATGTCAGTTTTACGATTCTCCTTATTATTAAACTCAAATGAACAACTGAAACAATCCCCATTACTGGCTGGCGAAGCTCTCAAGTTATCAACGATCTTAAGTCATTACATGGCGGCTTGGCAGTATAGTTTGTTATTGTTTTTACAATATCCRTAGGAAATCCTACTGATTTTAATGCGAAGAGAATTGTAGTCCCATCCAAAGGGAGTCGGGTATATATATTTATCAATTTGTATCACACCAAAACGACTACTGCACGGACGAAAAAAAGAAAAGAAAAGAAATAAGAAAGCAAAGGAACAAACTGGCAAGCAATAGTGTGACAAAAGAGAAAACAAGAACACAAAATTTCAAAAGAAATCAAATTTTATCAGATCAAACCAAACCAAAAATGAAACCAAGAAAGAAGAAATAGAAAAAAAAAATAAAGTAAATAATCGGAGGACTTTTTCTTATCTAGAGAAAGCAACTGTCGTTAAGAGGACATAACATCATGGCTACTGATTTGCGTAAAAACAAAAAAATAATGGCTACAGACTAAATTCTGCAATTTTTCTGTTMTGGAGGAGTAAATGGTGCCAATGAAACAAGCTTTACTACCGATAATTCAAATGAGACATTCACTTGCCTTTCATATCGGTCTTTTAATCATATCGATAATCTCGACAATCTGTATCAMGAGACAACAAACCTGCGAGGAGTACTTGATAAATGGTCAAAAATCCCTTGATGACGGGAGCCGACATAAAACGATAAAAAAGGAAATCCCATTCGCAACAATTTTAACAATTAATGTGACAAGAATTTATRTTGGAATRATTAGAATAACTAATTYATAGCGGCACAACGACTTTTGCCCTCGAAGGRATTTACACGAAACGGTTCAYGCTTATCATATTTAAAAATAWATTCTTYAAGAKATAAAGTAACTAYTAAAATGCAAATCAAAAATAGCGTGCAAACAGCAAATAAATCAAGGGCTTAGTGCTGACATTTAAGGCATATTTGACTCCGCAATGGAAGATTAATTCCGATAAATGATAACTTCGTGTAAATACAACAACAGTGATGTGTTGAGACAGAAACTTTTAATCTTCTAGCCAATATAGTTGTCTCATATATTATCCTAATGCTTTAGGCCAAGATTTACGTGCTGTGAAGATAAAAAYACTACCGGGGTTTATAAACTATATCATTTATTCGCATTTCAAGTAAGACAGTCGGGACGACTTTGTGTTGTGATAAATTCACGACCATATACAAAAGCAGAGTCAAAAAGCAAAAATTCAAAATGGCGACTATTATAAGTTTAAAGGTCGGAAAAAGTTGTGTGGTTAGCTATTCTCTTCAACTTTCCGGTTTTYCCAGATTTTAGTTCATCTAAGCTTCTTAGAGTTGGAGTTCATTAAGAAAGAAAAAAACAAATGGAAAACCTTATGATTGTCATTTTAATAAATGTACAGAAAATATATTTGTAATAATAATAAATATATAAACTATACATAACATTAAAATGATTTTTATCTTCGTTTTTTCCCCTCCTTTTTTCTATTTTGACATCCATGCTTTTTTCTTTGGCACTATATAGTTTAGGAACCACTGAGCCATGTGGGATACTTTACTTATTACGCATGCTCTCAATCTAAAACTGCTGTATTTGTTTTTCAGCTAATGCTAATGGTGGTTCACAGCCAAAACTTAGTCGAACAAAATCTCGCAARTTTAGYAGGGATGTTTTACTTCACTTGTCTCGTCAATATCAACAAAATAATAACGCTACAAAGTCAGCAACTACACGGTCCTTTAAGCGATCCAGGGTAAGACAATATGTGATTATAGTGCAGCAACATATGCTATTACTTAGCTWAACATCAATACATTGTGTAGCGTTCAAAGTATAAATATGGGTTAGTCCAGCACAGACACTGAGAGCAAAAGCACTGCGCATTCGTGGCAAAGAAATTGAAAAATTCATACACATGAAATGCTAATATAGTTTTTCTTATATACACCTAACCAAAAAAATTCTGCAACTTTTAATATATATATGTCTTTTGTTCTTGAGAGGTTAAACAATAGGGAAACAATAGACATATATATATTGAAAGTTGCAGAATTTTTTTGGTTAGGTGTATACAAAATATTTTTATACTTATATATATATACTTCAGTGGGTTGTTGGAAATGAAAATATCATGACACAGCGATAAAAGGAAAACTTAACTTTTAACCAAAAAACTTAACTATTTTTCACAAAGGTTGCGATCATGTCAGTTTGCTAAAGATATTGTTTGTGTTAACAATGATTAATCTTTGAAATATTGCTATCCATAATCCTTTTTAGTTGAGAAGCACGACGTTTAACCAAAAAACAGTGTAGAAATGTCACACACATCATTTTTCTAAATTTGTTTTGTTTCCCATTTCAGTCGTTTTCATTCACTTCTGAAAGACTTCCTCAGTACAAAAGAGAATCAACGAAAAAATCCAAGTTTCTATTTCTACACTATAGTACAAAGAAAGGGCTATGGGATTGGTGGATTCTGGTCCTGACATTCTACATAGCTATCATGGTCCCCTACAATGTAGCATTCAGCCGTCATGGCAAGGCCAGAGATTTAATAATAGTCGATATGGTCATTGAACTGTTTTTTATACTGGATATAGTGGTTCATTTTCGAACTACGTTCGTCAACAATACTGGGAGAATTGTCTATGAACAAAAAGCTATTGCTGTTCATTACCTAAAGGGATGGTTTATATTGGACTTTTTAGCTGCTTTGCCTTTTGAAGCTTTATATTTTATTAACCAATCATGGGTAAGTAATTAACATTGTATATGTTAAACTGATTTCTTTGGAAAGTACGGTCGCAGTTAGTGAGAGTGGGTAGTTGGTTGGTTTCGGTTAGGTGTCTTGTTAGTACGTTGGTTGATTGGATGTTAGTTTTATTTTGGTTATTGAGCGGTTAGTTGGATTCTGAATTATGGTCGCAGTTAGCCATAAAGTGAGAGTGGTTAATTAGTTGTTTTCGGTTATGTGGCTTGTTAGTAAGTTGGTTAGTTTGATGGTAGTTAAATTGGCTGATTGTTCTAGATGGATGTTCAGTCAGTTGTTTTGCTGGTCGGTTACTAAATTAAATGTTTGTTTTAGCTTTTGGGTGGTTGKTTGTTTAATAGGTAAATTGGATGACTAATTAGTTTGTTGACTTATGCTTTGTTATTGAGTTAATTACTTAGGATGGGATTGTTATTTGGTAGTTTAGCTATCTGATTGGTTGATTAGTATGATGATAATTAATTTGCTCAGTTGCTGGTATATAGTTGGTTGATACGTGTAGTTAGTTGGTTGCATTAGGTAGTAAATTAGACAGTTTGCTGACTTATTACGGGATTAGTAGTGGTTGGTTAGTTGATTGATCGCCAATTTTGGTCAGTCTGCTGGTTTGTTGTTTGGTCCGGGTAATAAGTTGATTGGGTAGTTAATTGTTGACTGGTGTTTGGTAAAGCTTAGTTTGTTGGTTAATTAGATGGGCAAGTGATTAAGCTTGTTTATTGATTGGCTATTCAGTTGGTTGGTTGGCKATTTGGATAGTTAGTTCACTGGTTAATTGGTTGGAAGGATGGTTAGTAAGTTGATAAAGTTGAAGTATTGTATCGTTGTCCGTAAAGTCAAAAACTCATCMATTGTTTTGATATCAATTATCAGTATAACATTTATATTTGGGTCAACGTTTTTGCAAACGGGTGTAGTTAGKTTAATAATAATTAATACTAATAATTGCACATAACGTTCTCTTGCATGCTGATTAAAATCGTGTCATAATCAATCTAAATATAAACATCCTCGTTTGATTGGTCAAGTAACTCATCAATCATGCCTCTAAATCCAATTTGATAGTCACGGGAAACACCTTGTCTTTTCCGTTCTCTTCTGATGGCTTTCTATTTCAAGCCTACTACTTATCAATTTAATCTCGAGGCAAATTTCTATGGCTCTTGTCATCCATTCATCACAGCAAGTCGATATCGTATTCCTGGTATAATCAATCAAAAASTCGTCCTTCCATTAAAGAAAGATCATATTTGAAATATCATATGTTGTTGTTTTTCTTCTTCTTTCATTTATTAGATCATTCATTTAATCATTTATGCGTTCTTTCATTTTTTATTCATTCATGCGCGAGTTTACTTATCATTCATCCTTTCATTTACTTTTCAATTTTTCATTTGCCCATCGTTTSTTCATTCAATCGTCCATTCATTCGTTCAATTCTTTCACGGTTTACTTTTTCATGTATTGTTCATTCATTTAATTTTTCATCAGCCCATAGACTGTTGTTGACCTCCCACATRGACAAGAAGTACTTCAAAAACAATTACTGACAAAAATTAAAAATATACAATTTCCTGAATGTGACGGCCGCACGAGTGTTTGTACGAATAAACACTAGACGGCTAACCAAATAAATACTACAAAATGAACAAATTTTTCTCAGTCTTTACGCCCCCTTCTAAGGGAAAAAAACTCATTATTATTATTTGTTAAAAACACTTAAACACGACGATGAGAAATAGTCTGAAGATGCATGAGAAATATAACCTGCAATGTTAAAGAGAAGTGTATTGATAATGCTAACAATGACTGCATAAACTGTACTAATATATAAAAAAATAATATTGGAACGCTATTCATTAATAATTGTGCTCTGAAAGTAAGGAAGTGTTATTCCACTTGAGCAATGAACTAAGCAGTGACGGACGATAATAAACTCTTCTAAATTTTTTTCTAAGCAAGCCTCTCGARCTTTATTCCGCAATAACATAAATAAATTTAAAAGAACAATGATTAAATTTTAATATGCCCGAAAACTGATGTTATTTTTGGAGCAAGAAAATGGATGCTGTCACTAACTACAGTGGTTTTATTCAATCTAGGCTAGCGCTGCTTTCGATAGGAAAGGGTCTGCGTTCAAAGAGGTACACAAGCAAGTATCTGTAATGTGGTTGTGTTGCCTGAAAATCTTACAAAAACACGCACTCTCCAGTAGTATGGAGACACAACTGCACACAAGATGTTTTGAGCTTTTTTTCTCACTTGACAACACATATTTTCACGAGGAAAATATGTAATTCCGTGAACGCTCACACACACCCTAACTTAACCTACCCACCCACAAAATCAACTGTTAAGGCGCGTTTTTTGTTTGGTCTAAAATTAAGGAGGAAAACTTAAATCTGCAATGACAACTGTACACTTACAACGGACGGCTCCATCAGACATTCTTCAAAGTTCCATTTTTTCATTTCTTTCTTTTGTCACTCCTTCTCATGAATTCATTTCGTATGTCTTAGTTTTAGAAAGACTTAAAACCGCCTGTATTCATCAAATKCAAACATCATTCCTTCATTCTCGATGCTATATCCACTCTTAAACCCATGCACAGTAACCTCACTTATAGACAAAAATGCACCTTGTGTGATAAAAACTATAGGCACYATAAAAATACACTTGATGAAATAGTTCCTTCAGTTCCCGGCACCATCTTGAGCACAGCCTGYCTTTGCATAGAAAATAAATGAATGCTGACATAGCAATATGCGAGCTCTACATGCGAATAATAGTTTTATCATTACAGCCATCTTCGCTTAGAGGAACGGCTACTTTTGATGGCGCAGGGACTTATTAAGAAGGTTATTTCACTATTAAAAAAAATCTTCCTAGATATCATATTGTTCCAAGTATGAACACAAATTATTGCCATTGCGGATCAAATGAAATAGATAAAACTAAAAAAAAAAAATTGCAATATGGCAATCCCCTCGTGCGGAACTTTCAGGTTGCAATCGGGAACAAAAGGATTACCATATTTGGTCAATTCGATGAGACTGATTATGTCCACCATCACATTCGGCGCCAAATCAATTGAGCGTGACCCAAAGTTAAAATTGCAATGAAAATGAAATTTAACTATATCACAAACGGCCAATAAGCAAAGTTTGATATTTCGATAACCAACTGAGATGATTTTGCTTGTTTAGGGTTTTCTAGTTCAATTATTAAAATGTGGTCGTCTACTACGCTTGTTTCGAGTTGTGCGCAAGCTTCATCGTTACACAGAGTATAGTACTGTTCTTCTTACCTTACTGATGCTGGCRTTCGCCATGGTTGCTCATTGGTTGGCATGCGTGTGGTATGTCATTGGCCTGGAAGAAGTCAGTGAAAAGTCTACTGTTAGCTGGTTATATCAGTTCGGAGAAACTATTCAAAGACCTTATGTTAATTTTTCAATGGACACTGGACCAGATGAAGGGTCCGCTTATGTTACGTCGTTATATTTTACGCTAACGAGTATGACTACGGTTGGGTTTGGGAACGTGTCTGCTAATACCAATGCTGAGAAAGCGTTTGCCGTAATAGTGATGTTAATAGGTGGTAAGTAGCAAAGATTTTATCGTTGCTCCACAGCATTAAGGTCAGGTTTTCCTTGCATATGACGTTAATGCAGCTTCATCTGGGGGTTAAAACAAGATCTTGGCTCTCTTGAGAAACTACAACCCATTATTTTGTCCCCCTCGATGGAGGTACATTCTTATGAGCTACATGGAGCTTAGAGTGTAGTTTTCGTAGTGTATATAAACTCTTCTCCTTATTTAAAGGGACATGGTCAACCAGCATTCAATGCGGTTGTGTTTTAGATTTTTCATATATGGAAAATGAGGTGACTTCGAATATCCATTCGCAATCCGTTTGCATCCATCGGTTTATACGTCGAATCTTACAGTATCTCCATTCATATGGTATAAAAAGATAATAAAGAGTAAGTTTTTGCTCATATTACGATGTATTTTTATTTTTAAACATGAGCAAAAGCTCGAAAGGGATGCTGGTAGACCATGTCCCTTTAACAGAACAGTTTCAGGGTTTCGTCATATTTGATTACATCATCTCGTTTCTATAGTCTATAAGCGCACCCTGAAAACTTCACACGTTCAAAGATCTGCCTTGAATTAGTTAGATGTAAAAGAAACACGGGCTAACGACTTTGACGTCAGTAGGTCAACTCAGATGTAACAGTCGCGATTTTTGGGTTGTCATAGCCGTCACGTTGGATGAAAACAACTGCTATGAGATMATTACTCATCAAACATGGCGGCTATGGCATCGTTCTCTCAACTTTCATTTTCTTGCAACCCAAGAATWTTAAATTACGTTGATACCCTACTTTCCGACCTTAATCATAGCGTTTCATTCTTTGTATTCCTGATTAGAAATGTTTCGTGCTTTATGTTTTAGCGCTGATGCACGCCGCAATCTTTGGAAACGTTGCYGCTATAATCCAAAAGCTGTATGCAAACAGGGTTCGGTATCATTCAAGAGCAAACGAGATCAAACAGTTTATTCGAGTGCATCATATCGATGGTGACTTAGCTAATCGCTTGGAAGATTACTTTCATACAACATGGTCTTTGTCTGGGGGCGTCGACACAAGAGAGGTACCTCATTTCTGTTACTATTAACAGTTCAACTAAAATTCAAT